GCCAGTGAAACACAAGTCCCTCGCCCCCCCCCCACCCCGGATACATTTTATTACGTGACTGTTTTATCCATCTTTTCGCGGACATCTTTTGCACAAATTTCGTTGTATCAGAATACATCTCCACTGAACGGAAGTGTCGACTGTGCTCACATCAACACGCAACGAATCCTGTCCGGTGGTTTTTACTGCTCACTCGGCTTGCTTTGACCTCTGACCGGAGCAATAACTTATCATCATCATTATCATCATCATCATCATCATCATCATCATCATCATCATCATCATCATCGAATCATCATTATCATCATCATCATCATCATCATCATCATCATCATCATCATCATCATCATTTCATCATTATCATCATCATCATCATCATCATCATCATCATCATCATCATCATCATCATCAGAATCATTATCATCATCATCATCATCATCATCATCATCATCATCATCATCATCATCATCATCAATGTCCGAGTCTGATAGGCGTGATGTGGTTGCGAGTTTGGTTGTGTGCCAAATAAAACCACGTGGACTGTACGCCGGGGCAGTAGTGCGTATGCATTGTGCAACTCGGTTGCGAGGATCAGCGGGCCAAGGAGGAGTTTGGTGATGATAGCGTGCTCGATTCACTGAGTCGATAACCGAACAGAATTGTTCAGTTACAGTGCACGTGCAATTCCCTGCTCGACCACCAAATCATCATCATCATCACCGTTGCATACGTGAGTGTGTGAACTGGATTTCGCTAAGCCAAATCACATACGGGTCATTCATAATCTGTGTAATTTCAAACAGGAATAGACCGTGTGTGTGTGTGTGTGTGTGTGTGCGATGCAGTGAAGCCTGTTGGCCTCCGCTCGCTAACAAATTGTTTATGCATGTTCACATGCCCGTTATTTGTGTGTGTTTGTATGCATACTAAGTTTTAAACAAACATGTTTTATAATGTTATTAATATCAGACACACACAATCGGACTCTCGCTCGCGTTCGTAGCCACCCACCCGCCGCTCTCCTGTCACACAGAGAGCAGCAGCTACCATATCACGAGTACCAGTGAACGTGGCTGATACATACGTTCAGCCATGTGGCTGTTGGCAACTAAACAGACTGATGAAAAATCAGTCACAGGCAAGACCACGCAACCGCGTGCATTTTATCCGTGGTCTTTGGGGGTTGCCGTGTCAATCAACCATTCTGAGAACTTAGCGCTACGCTGATGATGACGAATATTCGTCAACGGAATAGTTTTCCCCGTCTTCTTTCTCGTTTTGCTCCTTACGCGGACAAGAAATTGTTCACACAAGCCAGGTCCTCCATCTGTAAATTATCAGATCTTATCCACAGAGTGGTCCGGTAGTCGTCATCGTAGTATTCAGCTCAACGGATGTTTGTTGTGAAGCTCGATGAAATCGTGGTCACTTCTTTGCGTCCTGTCGATGGCTGTTCCACTCGGCTCATCTGCCAAATGGTCCCGGTTCTCGAGAATAACACTAGGTACGCATCGGTGTGTTGAAAATTCCGTGGTAGTCTATTGAGCCTCGAGAATCAGACACATGTAATGTGAATAGTTGAGACGACACAGTCGGAGAGATCGGTATTTAGTCCTTGCCGAAACGCAGGCCATCCGGATTCGTTACGCACTCGTTGAACGAGGTTTCACATCAAACATACACACGCAGCTGACGATGTAATGGTTTAGCAGAATTTGAAAATTAACTGAAAGCAGATTCAGATTTGTTGTGAGATATTGCAAGGAAAATGAGTCTCTATCGGGGTATAAACGATGTGAATCAGTGCAACGTCATTTCCGGAATTCTTAATCGAATAAATTGATTTCGGTCTTATGTTATCAGTCAGTCAGTCAGTCAGTCAGTCAGTCAGTCAGTCAGTCAGTCAGTCAGTCAGT